ATTCCTGGTTAACCGTGAAACTTTATCCCTTGTCCTCATATCATCACCGGGTTAGGCGGGGCATAAAATTACGCGTCAACAACTTTAGGAGTCGGTAGTATGGCACCTATCTTGGCCTATGTTGCTCGAATGCCTATTCCACTTTATCGGCCCCAACCTACAGACACTTTTTGATATATGGATGGTGCATTCTTGAAAAAGACAGGTTTAGTTGAGGAAGTGAAAACTGGCACCACAGTACTTTATCGTTGGAAGCCATGGGAAAGAAGAGTCGGGCACAGCGATCAGGATGAAGGAACCTCTAAAGCACAAACGCAAAGACAGCGGAAAGGAAAAGCGCCAGTCACCTCATCTTCTCACGCAGAAGAAGCAGAAGATGAAGTCGCTGAATGGAAGCAAGTGTTGGGTAAAGTGGAAGCTTTGCAGCAATCACAGGAAACCTTGCAAGTTACTGTTTTTGACATGGGACAAAAACTGCATACAATCCAGAAAAACCACGAACGGATGGAACGGAAGTGGAACGGATGGAACGGAAGTGGATGAAATATTTCCACTACCAAAACATCGAATTCACTCCGTCGCCTCCAGGTTCTCCAGAGGCCTAAGGTTTTTTTGTCCCTCTTTAGTTTTCTTTTATTTTCAGTATTGTTTGTGTGTTATTGCATGTGTTGTGTATTTTCTTTGCATTTCTCCTCCCACAATGAGACATTGTGTCTTTTAAGTGTGGGGGAATAGACTTACAAGATCTCAGTTCATTTTCATTTCATTTCATATATATGTAAAAAAAAAGTGTGACAATTAAAAAAGTCAACTTCTTTGCCTTAGTTCAATGTTAGTCACTTGTTTGCACCTTAGTTCAATGTTTTAGTCTCTACATGTTGATTTGAGTTGTATTTTGCCTTTGTTGAAAATAGAAAGTCTTGAAATGTACCATGATTAAAGAGATTAAAATGCCTATATCGAATTAAAGTATTAATATATTAGATATGACATAATTGAAATTTTTCAAAATAGAAATTTTTAAATCTTAGTTAACTATCTAGACATTATCTTTTAATTTAGAAGAAAGCTTGAATCCTAACATGAAATGAAGAATAGGAAGAAATGAAAATTTAAATACTTGTAATGTTTCAAGGTCAATAAAAAGGAATAAGGTATGTTCAAGAGAGAAAAATATACGATAGAGGGAATAACGGAAAATCCGTTTTAAAAGCAAAGTGGTATGGAGCATAAAATGCAACTACTTCTCATTTACATTCCCACATACCTTGAATAAAAATGATAGCACAAGAAAAATGATAGCAAAAGAAAAAAAAATGTGGTATGGAGCATAAAATGCAACCACAAAAGAAAAAGAAAAAAAAGGAAAAAATAAAGCAATGAAGTGGTATGGAGCATAAAATGCAACCACTTAGTGAGATAGAAATAAGACTATCTAAAAATTCCTTGAGATAAGAAACAATACATGTATGCTATCTAAAGTACTTCCTATTCTTTGCATTCTAAGGATGGAGAATTGCCTATCTCATATCTTAAAATGACTAGCTAGATTTTCTTATACTTATGATTTTTGTTTGCTTATTTTTGAAATTTTTACAATGTCATATTCATTTACAGCGATCCAACACTAGTTTGATGAGAGACAAGTCACACACGCTCTATCTTGTGTAGATTACTTAAGAAGTCTAAATCAACGAATAAAAAACAACATGATCAACTTGAAGTTCAAAGAGAAGGATAAATATTTTTTTGCTTAGGGGACAAGCAAAGAAGCTAAGTGTGGGGGAATTGAGAGGATAGCCTCAGCAAAGCGGGCATCTTGTTATGTTATTTGAATATAAATGCATGAATGCATGGATTGATTTTTTTGTTATATTTATATGTTGTTCGTTTGTTTTGTTTCAAGTATTTTCAGGAAACATATGTGTGTATGCAGAGTTTTGTTCCATACACACACATGAGGCCAAAAAACAAAGTTTGAAAAAAAATGAAGAAATCCTTGATCCAGCCCTTGCGCCGCGAAGCAACGCAACAAAAGAAAATGCCAAGTCGCGAGCCTAAACCGGTTTGAGGTCGCACGCGCAACAACTATCACCGGCAGAAAAGGCAAGTCGTCGAGCGCGACATTCACAAGCGCCGGGCGTGCAAGAAAGCAAGGACTGAGCAGTCTGTAAGGTTTGCAAGCAAAAGTCGCGACGCGCTTCCAATCTGCGCGTCGAGCGAGAAAAGCACTTTTGTAGAGGTAGAAGGTTTTTGGCCAGCAGGAAATTTCGCGGAGCGCGACTCCGATCTGCGCGAGCGTGAAAAGAACTTTTATGAGCACGCAGCGACCAAAAGGCAATTTGAGGAGGCAGAATTTTCAGCACACGACCTTTACAAGCGCGAGCGGCAGAGTGAGATTTCTAGGGACGACGATAATTGCGTTACCATATTTCATCAGAAAATCAATAATCTTTCCATGCATAGGGTCGGGACTCTTCCCAAGAAAGTCACCTTCAAGCAACCTTTTTTGGCCAACAATCATCACCCAAAACCCACCATCACTCTCCACCTCCTCTATAAATAGGCAAGTCAAGTGAACACAGAGACAAATATTAGAGTTCATCAGTGAAAGTTAGATTCAGAACAGAAACACTTTAGATTGTATTGGAGAAGTGGTTAGTAGTAACTTAAGAGCAAAGTTGAAACGAGGTCCACTTGTTATTAGATTGTGCCAAGAACATCAAGAAGTTCCTCGAGTTGTTGACACTAACTCTCAGGAGTCGCTGAAGATTACTTCTTTCTCTTGGTTTTAAAGACTTGTTGTATGTTGTTCTTCACTCTGCTATGCAAAGCACAATTTTTAATTGGTAGTATTTCAATAAAAATTCCTTAAGTTATTTTTGATCTTTGTTAATCTTATAGTACTAGATTATATTCTCTCAGAAGGAAATAGTTAGTAAAAGAAATCAAAGAGATTTAATTTCTTGTTGAATTTAACATATGCTATTCACTATTTGTGTATATATTAAATCTGTTCTTATTGAAATAATCAATATGAATAAGAATTAATTTTTTAATAGTAACAAGGTAAGGTTTTATTATATATGTATTATAAGTAGAAATACATATAATAGATAGTATAATTCTATACTGAGAGGTTGAATTATACCCTACCATATGTAATTAAAGAATTCTTTATTGTATGTTTCAAGCTTTTGCATAGAAAGGGAAAATCCTGTGTATGATTAATTATTCTATGTATCTTACTACACACTTATCTCTAGAGTTAATTAAACATTAGACCTAGCATAAATAGAAATTAATCACTTCTGTATTCATATTTCTGTAAACACATTATTAAGAGTAAAGTAGCAAGTGAACTCAACCCGTTCCTTGTGGGATCGATCTTTTATTACTACATTGCGATCCGTATACTTGCGGGAACTTAAAAGAGATGCAACAAGTTTTTGGCGCCGTTGCCGGGGATCGGTGTTCTGTCATTTAACGAAATATTCTTATATGTGATTTGCAGTTTATTTTAATTAAGAGGAGAAATTTATTCTTGCCTATTTAGAAATTAGATTTGTTTTCCTATTGGGAATTATATACTTGTATATAAATAGGATGTATTAATAACATTGAATATATAGAAATCAATAAACAATTTTCTTCATACAACTCAACTGTTTACACAATTCATGTGAACAATTTGATGCCATGAAAGAGATGTTTATGGGGAAGGAAAATGTTCTTGTGTTAGGTGTAATAGGTGTCTAATCCTTGAAACTAGTAATTGAAAATTTTTCTATACTTGTTTTTGTTTACGATATGTTTTGTAAATGATGAGAGGCACGGGAATCGCACTTATAAATTGTTACACTTACAATGTAACAATTGAACATTTATATAGGAATCTTGTCAAAAAATATATTCCTTCTGTTATTGTTACATCATTTCACTTATAGCATAACATTCAATGAGAGAGAACATTGGTTTATAAAGCGGCTAGATAGCGTCAAAACAAATTAAAATTTATTGTTTTTGTTACAGTCATAGTGTAACAAGTGCATTGTTACAATACGACTGGAACAAAATCTTTTGAAATGTCAACGGAACACCATTCTGGAAAATATTTTTCACAGAACATCGTTTTCAAAAATAGTTTTTTTGCATAACATTATATTGGGAAAACCCCGATAAATTAGGCCTCTCATTTTATATAGGGGTGAATTTATGCATTTAACCCCTCATTTTATAACATTTACTTTTTACCACCCAATTAAAACTCCAATACACTTTACAATCCCCTCTTACAAGCGTGGCCTACAAGTGTTTTATTTGATTACATGGTCATACGGCTATTTGAGCTACCTATCAGAGGCAATCCAGACCAGTTGGCAGTTGAACTAGAAAATTTGTGAATCAGATTAATTGGACCGATTTATTTTTGAATTATTTAATAAAGAGAATCAAAATGAGCTGGTTGAACTATGATAGAACGGAATAATCGAACTGGTTCAACCAATTATTCGGTTCATTAATAACTCTAATTATAATTGTAATTAGTTTAAATATAATTATTTCATTAATATATATTGCTTATATTTTTGTGACCTGTTAACTGAACCTTCGACCTACCCGTTAACTCAGTTACGTATCCACTCGATCCAGGTCATTATCTCCTCCGGGTTTAATGGCACTAATCAGAGCCCTTGCAACTAAATCGGAACCAGTTCTAGTTTTTCAATTCAGGAAACAAAATTAGTTGTTTCGATTTGATTTACAACCTCCAATTTCTCCTTTTTCTTTCTTTTTTTTTTTTTTTTTTCTTTTTTTTTTTTTTTTTTTGGGGGGGGGGGGGTGTTGCGGTGGGGGACTACCAAACAAAATTGAGGAATGCATAAAGAATTAAGGAACATAAGAAAAAAAAGCTGAAATGAAGGGGTGTTGCGGTGGGGGAACAACCAAACAAAATTGAGGAATGCATAAAGAATTAAGAACATAAGAAAAAAAAAAGCTGAATATGAAAATTTTATTTTATCCAATTTTATTCTCTTTAAATTAAAAAATCCAAGATTTTTTAATGGTATCGTTACAGTTGCAAAACAAATAAAGAACAAAGGGGCTGTAATTGCAAAAGAAACAATGGAATTAATAAAGAACATCAACAGTTGAATATTTGAAAATTAAACTTAATTATGACCATTGCTGTTTGCAAGCCTATGAACAGGAAGGCATGTGTGCAGGAGGACTACGGATACTTGTTGCCTTTGTTTTGCCATTCTTCACTATCAGAACTGTATCCATTCCCCAGCTTGCGTGCCTCTCCAAGTGACAGTGGATAAACCATACTCCTGAACCACAAAGTAACCATGTGACCATTTAAGAATATAAGTTTATGGCGCGAATCAATTAAGATAACATATATGCATTTATAACTGAATTTGAAGTAGTTTGACGACTTACCAGGGTTATTGGCAATGAATCTGATGGCAGTCCAGCCATTCTTTGGAACTCCAACAGTGTTGACCAGTGGTGGATCAATCAAATTATAAGACTTGGGATCAGTCTTGTTATTGAAATTTCCTGAGCCAGTCCCAACCACATAGAAGCTATAGCCATGCAAATGCATTGGATGATTCTCTGCAGCACCCATGTTAGTCCCTTGGAAAACTATCTCAACTGCATCTCCATAGTTCAGCATCTTCACCTTCGTCCCAGTGGCTGTAAATGCTGAAATACCCGTCATATTTCCAGTAAAGTTATAGAAATTTGGAGGAAAACTTGGAAAATCTCTGTCAAAAACCCCACTCAAGCTCCTGCATAAAAATACGTTGTAAATTAGTATATGTCCACACATGTTTGTTCTTGCCTAACTTTGATGAAAATAACTATTTTACCTGTAGTATGCTTGCAATATGTCAATCTTTGGACTCTCAAAACTAACATTGTTCAAGCTTGCTGCTATAATGTTACCGTTTGGTCCTTGGCAAGTTTCATTTTCAGGGCAAGGTATTTGGTTGATAGCAATTGCTATATAAAGGTGTTGGGTAATATTTTTAGGGACATTAATAGGGTGAGATTTGCTAACTAAGCTCTTTATTTGATTAGTAAAATTCGCAGTAGCAGCTTCATCAGCAACGCTAGGTAGGTTTGGGAATGAAATATTAGAGGGACGACTATAATTTCCTTTGTATTGGAGAATTGCTGTAGTGGTGGTATTGTCTCCGGCGACAATACTATCAATGAAAGGAGAAGAAGCCATGTAATAGTAATTAGGTGATTGGTTTGTTGTGACCAAAACGTCCATTGTTTGGCCTGGAGTTATCATTATATAATCTGTAGTTACTGGTTTAATGTATGCACCATCTTGTCCTACAACTGTTAGTTTGTGGTTTGCAATTCCAAAGAACTGTTCTTCGTTCATTACTGCATTGATTATGCGGAGAAGATAGGTCTTTCCTTGTTCAACAAGCAAACGGTATGTCGATTCTGCAACAAAAAACAAAATATAATGAAAAGATGTTTTCCAAATGGTATGTCGTTTCTTCAAATTTGTAAGGTTATTAATTACCTTTAGAGCATGGATATAGATCACCAGGTTGGCCATTGATGGTATGAGCATTAGACAAGTTTGGAGCTCGACCAACGGCAAGTGCTTCGTCAATTATTGTTTTTAGATCTCCCTTATACCAGGAAGCTGCCGAACACAAAGTTTATATAAATGTGATAAGAAATATACATATAGAAACAGAAAAATAATTAAGATTGGTGTTTAATTAATTATACCAATGACAATTGTTTGTTGTGCAAAAGGCGTAGGGAATGGATAAATGGTGCCAACGGCAGGCAAAATGATGAAGGCGCCGTGGACGGTGGCTCGAGACCAATCGCTATGTGCATGCCACCATAGAGTTCCTTCTTCGTCTGAAAGTATGACCTCATGTGTGAAGTTCGTTCCTGGTTTAATTGGGCATTGTGTGATGTTTTCAGGGCCGTCTGACCATGGATTCCTTGGTTGCTTCACTCCATGCCTATCATATCATCCAAATAATAACAGCCATATATATTTTATTTCTTTCATATATAGTTAATCAGGAAAATCAAATCAACATGCTGTGTATAATAGTTGACTCGTAGACTTCTTTCTATTCTATGCATGTAAATATTATAAAACTCCCACCATCTCAAAATATAATTCATTTTAGGCACATAGTTTTGTCCCAAAATATTAATCGATTTGAGTATTTTAACAAGTATTAAACGATCTTATTCTAATTTTATCCTTATCTATATTAAGTACAATATAATGATTCAAGATAAGAATAACGACGTGAGATAAAGGATAATTTGATCAAATTATTTTTTATTTATTTAGAATTTTAGTTAATTAATTACTTTTTTAAGCCCAATACAAAAATTTTAAATGACTTATATTTTGAGATATAAAAGAGAAAGTGAAAGAGGTTACCAATGAATTGTAACACCATAATTTCCTTGATTATGAACATTAACATAAACTTTATCCCCTCTATGAACTTGTATTGTTGGTCCAGGGAAGCTTCCATTTACAGTGAGCATAGTTTTGGTGGTACACAACCTTGTAAAGGTTGCTTCTTTTAGCTGCAGTCAAATAATCATTAGTTGAAAATTAGAACTTTGAATTATATGCATGGTCCCATTTAGAAACTTCAAAATATAAATGTACTGTGTTTACAATTACAACCAATCAGAATTTCATTAAATAAAAAAAATATTCATTAGTATTTCATTTTAATTTATTTATACATACTTTCAATTTTAGTAAAATTTAATTTAGAAGCATATAGCCAAATCCATAAATTAAAGTGGCTCTCATTTGTCTTCAATTCTGCATGTTCACATAAGTAAAGTGAGTCTCATTGCTACTCTACAAATAATTTAATAATTAAATTTTTATTTTTTCAAAGAACTAATGAATTTGGGTGAGCATTCGATTGGTTTGATTAAAATCTGATTTAAATCGAATTTTTAAACAAAAGAAACAACATTAAATTAAAAACTAAAGAGATAGTGTAAACTGAATAAACTAAATTCCTAACAACACAAAAAACTTTGCATGATAACAATAAGAATGAGCACCTTAATTATGATCTAGTTAGTGCAAAAGAAGCAAACACTTACAACAAAATCATAGTAATGAGTCCTGCCATAAGCCAGCCCATTCAAAAGCATAAACCCCAAAAACCCTAATATGAATCTCATTTTCACTAATACTTCTCTCAAGAAAAAAGATAATGAAACTTTCTGTTGATATATTCTATTGTGATTTTTAGCTTGCATACAATAGATATTTATAGGACTGGCTTTGTTGCTTTAGCCAGGATGCTTCCTTGCCAGCCAGTTCCTCGATACATTGAACATTTCAAAACTGAAGGACAAAAAATAATTACCTAACGTGGTATAAGACGACTTTATGAAAAGGAAACAATAAATGAATTATTTGTCAAAAAACGCAAGAAAACCATTGGATTATTAACTTAATAACATTATTGAGAAAAGCATGCTTTCCCTTTGTCATTATTGAGAAAAGGTTGCTTTCCCTTTGTCTTTTTGACATATTCCTTGTTTTGAATTGTTTCATTGGTTATTATATGACAGCTGGAATTCCCGTTCTATCTTTATAAAGTTAAGTGTTTCATTGGGGTTTATGATTTAATTATATTTCCAACGTACACTTTTTTAAAAAATTTCATAACTTCAGGAAAAGTTTAGCACATCTAACATGATATGATCATATTCTATATGTGCCTCACTTCTTAATTAGTATGATTCATTAACGTTGGAGATTGTTTAAAGAGAAGAGGTAACCTAAAGATTACATGCAGAAAAATTGTCTCCAAAGATTCATTCTTTGTATTAGTATAGATTTAGTTATAAATATAACAAAATAATTTATATGAGAAAGGCTATCTATGCTTGGTAAATGGAGCAATCTGTCTCATTTTGTTTATGTAAAATAATTTATAGAAAATAATTTTTTATAATAAAAAAGATTTTTTGGATATTAACAAACTTTTTTTAACCTTATGAATACATATTTTTTTAATTTATTAATTACCGGTAGTCACTATTTATCATTAACTACCACCACTAGTCATTAGTCATCATAGGCCACCACCACTGATCACTATCACTGGCAACTTTTTTAATTTACTATTTTTTATTTTTCTCATATTTAAAATAATTTTTTAAAATACAAAATTTTCATTATTATAAATATTTTTATAATCATATAAGTTAAAAATTTTAATATATTTTAATTAATTTTCAATATTGTAACCGAACAGGGGAAAATAAATTATTTAAAAAATATTTTTAAAGAAAATAAATAAATTATTTTTCAAAAACAAAATCAAGCCTAAGCCAATTTCATAAATACAAATCAGGGAATTATCATTATTTCTTCACTTAAAAAAAAAAGATAAATTAGTAAATAGTTTTAATGGCTTTTGTAAATAACAATTAACTATTCAATTGATGTATGGATAGACTCGTACACTATATATATTACATATAGACAAGTATTTTACCCATTCACTTAACCAACCGCAGCTAGTATGATAATACGTTTTAATTTCTAATTTCTATTATTGTTATATATAGTTTAGTCAAAGTTTTTTTTTTTTAAAGTAATGATTTATCAGAAATAGTTAGCAATATTATCTTTCCTATGACAAGAAGTACTTAAAATTTACAAGAAATAGTTAGCAATATTATCTGTAATATAATTGTAAAGTCAATAACAACCAGATGACAAGACATGTAATCAATTAATGCAATTAACTGACTTGCATTAATTAGTTATCTTTTAACTAAACGGCATCTTTGAAACAATGGAAAGTTAGTCAACCTCGGGATTCTCATTGCGCGACTAAATAAAACCTAGGCACCTAGCTACCAGGAAGGTAAGATTCCATTACTGACTTGCTTTGCTTTCCTAATTAAAGACGAGGTGGTGTTTTTTGAGCCAGTCCAATATAATAACATAATTACATCTCCTTTCCTCGAATAATGCATAATTTAAACCCCAGTTTTATTAGTTTAATCCAATCACATTTTTAAACCTTTGTCAAGATAATAAAAAAATATCAGAAACAAGTAATTTAGGTGTAAAAGAGTAAAATAATAAAAGGTATTCTGTCAATGAAAAAAACGCAATATTATTAAAATTTATAAAATCATTAAAAGTACAATAGATCACCGACATGGTTGAAGGTGGATTCAACAAAAATGACGACGATAAAGACAAATTTATGCATTGTGTGATTTTTTCGCTAGTTATTTAACGTTTCCTTGAGGGTATACTTCATATATCTGTCAACTCAGTTGATTCTACTGAATTTTTTCAAAATATTAAATTTAAATAAATTATTTTTTTTATTAATCTGGGCTCAATTTGTTTTTGAAAAATTACATTTATATTCAAGGTCTATAGACCTGTTCATCTAGGAAATATAGCAATATTTGACTGCTGTTTTTTTTTTCTCTTAAAAGCAAAATAAATCAAGGTTTTTTTTTTTTTTTTGGGTTTAATTAGTATATTTTAATCATGTCAATTGGGGATGGGTACGCGCAAAATTTACACTCTCCATAAAAAAAATAGCTTAAAATTTCAAATGACTCCTATTTAAAATTCTTTTTAAAATATCCTTTTCGAAACTTGTTTGAAATTTTTAATATTTACACCCGTTTTACACTCGTTTAATTAATATCTAAATCTACTTTAAATAGATTGGACAGATAGAGAACCTAGAAAATTCATTTTGTTTATGTATAAAAAAATTTAAATTCATAAATATCAAAATTTTTGAATAAACTAAGAAAATACAAAAATAAATCAAGTCATCTTCATAACATACAAATTTTATTATTATCTTGAACTCAACATGCACTTAAAATTTCACCAGAAATATTTTATTATATAAATATTTTTAAATTATATAATAGATTTTTTATGGGTAGTGGATACCCACAGTTTAAACCCACTTTCGATCTAAATCCATGATGGATAATTAATTTAATATTCATATTTATCCCAAATTTATTTAATTAATACTCAAACATACTTTAGATTGGATTTTTATGGATCTGGTAGCAGTGAAAACCCATCTCACCCATCAAATTATAAGTATATTCTATTTCCAAAGACTCTAAAAATATATTTTCATGTTTGAATATAAATTTATCAAACCTAAAAGTGAATAAAGTCTGTTGGATTTGTTCATCAGGATTGTCCAGAATAGAATGGATTAATTTGGCCGCGTGCCTATTAGTCTAGAAAAAAAGAGAATGAGAATCAGAAGACGCCTGTTACTGGCCCTATTGACATATTTTTAATCATTCGATTTTTTTTTTTTTCAATTGTGCCATTTCAATCCTCTTATTTGGGCCCAGAAGAATTTAATTAATAACTAGAAGAATAAATTGAATTTAGTTATTAATTAATAACTAGAAGAATAAATTGAATTTCCCTTTCAAAAAAAAAGAATAAATTGAATTTCTAATTTAATATATAATAAAAAAACAAATTGATTTTGATAACTAATTATTTGTAGTTATGTATAAAATTTGCCATGAATAGTCAAATATGTAATGTGTACGTAAGAGTGAATAAAATGAAGTAGATAACTAAGAAAACCACACGGTGCAACGTAGTAGATGATTATAAATAATGACAGCTGCACTGTAATATTACTAATATTGGGGTCAAAATCAAATATTCGGAAATTGACTTATACAGCCGCCCTAATTCCCCTAAATCCCTAATGAAGTTAGGTGGATGAACTTGAATTTTCCCAATACTTTTGTTATCTTCCACGGCAATGTTCTTTTTTACGGAACATGCATTTATCGGTTCTTCATGCATCTTTATATTTTATTTAATTCATATTATATATAAATGTTAGAACACACAAAAAAAAAAATGAGAATTTGGATAGAGTTTTGATAAAATTTGAATATCTTAAAATAACTTTAGTCATGATTAATTAGAAAATTATATTTTATTAATTAATTGGATATAATTTATTAAAATTATTTTATTATAATGTTAGAACACACAAAAAAAAAAATGAGAATTTGGATAAGAGTTTTGATAAAATTTGAATATCTTAAAATAACTTTAGTCATAGATTAATTAGAAAATTATATTTTATTAATTAATTGGATATAATTTATTAAAATTAAATTTTTTTAAAATAAAATACATTAATGGGATAATTAAACTTTTAAAATAAATACATATGGATAATTAAACATTTCAAAATTTTCAGTTTTATCTTTTTTAAATTTATTTTTTACTAAATTTATATGGTAACAAGAAATTTGAAATTTTTGATATTTTATTTTTAAATATTTGATTCTATTTTTATAATAACTTAAAATTTTTTATTTAGCCGAGAGATAAAAAAGAAAAAATATATATTTTTATAATATTTTTTTATGTTTATAATTTGATTGGATTTATTTTTCAAAAAATAATTTTTCAAACATGATATACATAATTAAGCCAAAATTTTTAAATTTTTACTTTTTAAAATTTATTTTAAATAAATGAACATATGTGTATGGGATGACGAATAGTTGAAAGTTTTAATTTTTAAACATATATAATATTGTAGAATTGTTCATATACATTTATAAAAAATTTTAGATAAATAGCAATATAAATTGAACTGAAGTGTATATACATATTGCTGTTTTATTAGTTAACTATTATATTCAGGTTAAATTCATATGAAATTTTATTTTAATATTACAAAAATCTAAATAGGACAAAATTTATAACCAATGTTTAATATTAAAAAATAAAAACGAGTATAAATAACAAGTAAAACTGAGGAATGATATAAAACATTGAACGAGTACGAATAACGAGTATAGTCAACATGCAATGCACGTCATAAAAAGACTAATAAAAATTAAGGATCAATATATTATAATACAAGTCCCTCTCTTTTCTCTTTTTTCTCTCTAATCTTCTAACCCTAGTTTTAGTTTGGATATCGATAGCCCCTACCTTATGCTCTTCCTTTCGCTTCACCTTTATTCACTTTAATACACAATTAGATCTATTTTTTTTTATAACAGATGTGTCTTTTTTGTTTTTGTTATTATTATTTTGTCTCTATACTTAGAGTTTTTTTGTCCCTTTTTTGCAAGAGTAGTCTTTTCTTTGTGAGAGTTTATTACTGACTAAAAATATGATATTTGATTTTATTAGGTTGGAGACTTTAGATCTTCATTGCAAATGCGAATTTTCAAGCAATAGAG